TATATATATAAAGCACACTCTAGTAGTTTTCAAGATTTTGAAAAACCCGGTTTCAATAGGCAAACGCGTTGAGGCACCTGCTTGATGATTTTTCTACGAGGCGCAATATATAATAAAATTATTGGTGTTCTGTAGTCGTCCCTAATTCCACTCCTGCTCCACAGACTAAGATCCTCGGGTACCCACAGGAACCGAGGAGAGCACAAACTGACGTTCTTAATAAATATAATCGTGTTACACTATATCGCCTTTTATATTTTTGTAAAGTACTGGGACATATCTGCACCTGCTGAATACCGGATACAAAAACCTGACAATAATTTCTATAACACTATCTCTATATTGACTGCTGTTGCTAGCATAATTATATGCTTTTTTTTGTATATGCCAATATGTATTTGCATGTTTGGACAGTAACAGTATATATCTATTACACTATTTAAACGAATAGTTTTAGAACACTGACAATTCTGTTTCTAAGAGACTGATCTACTAAGCGCTTACATAATTGATGATTGTAAACTAAGTTGTCTGTATTTGTGTGAATCATGTTGTCGATGTTTTTATTGTCTTCCAGGTGAAAATTTGGTTTCAGAATAAAAGGTCCAAGTACAAGAAGGTAATGAAACACGGTCCAAGTGTGCAAGATGTTGACCTGACACACACCACGTCTTCGCTTTCTCCTTCTTCTCCAAACATGCCTCCCATGTGGGATGTTCTCCCGGGTGGAAAAACTGCACAAATTTCTTCCAGTTACTTGAACAATTTTAACCCCTGGTACCAGCCACATGACACATTATCGAGGCCACCAATTATGTAGCTTAAAGGACTTAGGTCTTTTAAGCTGAGATGATTAAAAAGAAGCCCATATGATTAAGAGCTTTCTCTGACCTACCAAACTTGCCTTCTTCTTAAAGTCCTCCGTCTGAAGAAATAAAACCTGGGAAATATCGATGCATAGACAATGGCTTTTCTATAAGCCGGTTCTCATGAAAATGGAGATAATTGATGAACCATGATATTTTTCTATTTATTCATTAGAAATGTTTTTACTGATCTGTTACAGCTCATGTCTTAATTACAGAAGATCAAATTATTATCCAATTGTATACATTTGATTATCTTCGTCAATATTTCACTGGCCACATATTATTTAAAAGTTAACATAAGCACATCAATGTATTTTGGTAGTGCCTTCAGTTTCCTTCAAAGAACATTGAGTTGATAGACACAAATATACCAAAAGAAACTTCATCTGTAGGTTTGATTTGTCTTGAATTTCATAATAGAAATGAATTAAGGAAGTAATTAATTATAGACGATAAGAAGAGCATGTCTGGTAGCTGTAAAACTTAAAAATCAAGAAGATTAGAAAAGGAGACAGAACATTTATTTTTGGCCTTTTGAACCAAAGGACATACCCTTAAGAGTAATGAATGCAGATTTTTGTTTAATCAAGGATTTTGTAAACTATCCCATGTAGAAACTGGATTTTTGTTAAAAACAAATAGGACTGTATTAATTTTATAGTTTATGAAAGCATGGTCATATGCTTCTCATCTCTGTCGTTATTTTATTTTAAAAAATGAGTTTGGCATGGTGTGCCTTTAAATCACGTGCATTATTAAGAACCCACCACTCAAGAACACATTACACATGTTCTATGATCACAGAGACCGGACAGTTTTAAAGAAAATCGACATCACAGAGATATGATGAGATTTTGCCTGCATTCCATAAGTATGTGATGAAGATCCTTTCCATCTCTCCTTGCCTTGCAATAGATTACCGAAAACCGCCAATGCTGATGTGAATTTGTGAAATATTAATATGCTAAATAGAATATTAAATTGTTGAACATTATGGAAAAAAAAAAAGTTTCACACAAATGATGCAATAAACAATTATTTTCCATTTTAACATTTTTTTCTAAATTTATATTAGAACTCTTATTGAGCCATGAGGAAGGACTTGTAGAAACCCAATACTGCTGTAGAAAATTGCACTATTTCTTCACGTATTTTCAACTTAAAGCTCAGAAAAAGAGAGATGTTCCAGGAAAAGTAAACTGGCAGGCATTTCCACTAAAGTGTGAATTGTCAAGAATTCAAACTGAATTTCGAATTTTAGGCGCAATAGGCACTGGAAGCATCATCTCCATTGGACATGGAGAATATGGTCCGGTCTGCTATTTGGCTTTAAAGGAGGTACTGAAGGTACCACTTGATCTTAGTGAAGTGGTCTGGGTGCAGTGGCTCTTAATTTTAACCCTGCAATGTAAAAAGACTTCCTGGCAACCACTAGGGTCTCTTCAATGTTTTCATAGAGCATTTGATTGGCACAGAATGTAGATTTACCGCAAATGAGCATGGGCCTCCTAATGCTTCCCTGTGGGGAAGCATCGGATTGGCTGAGATCATCACTCTTCCTCATTTTAGCCAGGGAGGCGGAGCAGCTGCAACAAGTATAGTAATCTCACTTTTCAAACCCTCATGGGGGCGCAGGGAGAAACCTAAAAAGGCAGTGGAACATTATCATATAAGGGATAAATGTTTTTATTCCTGAAGCTATAGTGTTCCTTTAAGTTTGAATATACCAACAATGTGTAATTTAATGAATAGCCTGTTAGTCTAAGATCGCAATTATGCATTTTATTCATTTACACATGCGATAACTGGGAAAAAGGATGTTTTATCTGATATCAAATCATTGCATTATAAAAATAGGTATCAAATAATATACACCTGTCAAACCAAAAATAATGTTTACAAAATTTGGGGAGATAAATCCTTTCAAAACAATCCTTTGTAGGTGGACATTAAAAAAATGTGCATTTTTTAAAATTTTTATTATTTTGTATTAATTTAACCAGTTTTTAAACTTGTTATCACTATTTCAAAGCCTCTTATTTATGAATAAAGTTGCTGTTATTGTGTATACAACAGCAGCAACATTTCTCGCACTGTATTTCTAGAGCGTATCATTTTCTGGGAGTTATTTTGTTTTTTCTTTGTAAATATATATTTGTATAGCCTTGCAATTTAATGTATTTTTTTCATTGCTTTATATGGAATAATACTATAGGTTATTAAAATTTCTTTAAAAAAACATTTTTTTAGAAATGTATTTGTCTTTTCAATATTTCTTTCAATACCAGGGTAAACAAATCGTAAACAAAAAGTACACAAATACCATCAGAAGGAGACTTTTTTTAAAGAGATACTCAAATACAAATAATAGATATTACAGAAACACTCCAAGCACTGTAGTGGTTATGGTGCCAGAAGTGCCCTGACGCCACCCACCTCTGCCCCTCATTATAAGAAGTCAAACCATTTGATTTTTTTTTACCTGGGGTCCGCAGAGAGCCATTATCCACCTCCACTACAGCTGATAGGATGCTGTAAGCCCCTGTGTTGGACCTGCAATGCTGATCAGCTGATCGCTCTCGGCCAATGAGCTAAGTCCTGCACTGTAGTGGAGGCGGGGGGAGGAGGCAGAGGGACAATGTTGTTCTTAGGAATACAGTTCTGTTCCTTTAGGTAAAGTACATGTGTCATATAAATAAACAATTTCAATAGAAGAGATTAAATCGAAAAGTAAAATAGATCTATGTATCTCGCATAGGACAAAACCCCAGTTTAATACATGGTGACAACCTGGATAAACTGTGCTTTACCAGTGAGTCGCTAAGCTGTGATTGGTCAGTATCTTTGTGAGTAGATGTTGTTGGCATTCAGTCATTAAAAATAGTGCAAGGCTGGAAACCAGTCGGTACTCGGTAACGGCCATAAGCTACCAGCTGATTTCCCTTTCTTTTCCAAATGATCTACCACATCTACCCTTCTTTGACCCTCCCCTCTACTCCTAGGGTAAAGCCTACTCCAACCTTCTTGCCACCCTGTCCCCCAGCACAAAAGACCCTCTTCTATTCAGTTGCCGTCCATCATGGCTATAACGTTTGTACCCAAGACTTCAGCTACATGTTGGCTCTCTAATCTCCCAATACCTTTCCACCGTAGTGCATGGCACAGGTGATATCTCAGATACCACCTTGGAGGCCCTCTTCTTAAGTTTGCTACATAACTCTCTGTCATGAAATATGGACCATTACAGCTGGGTCATCTGCAACCCCTCCCAATAATCTATCCAGTGGCGTACATACACACGATCCATGGGGCTCCGGTGCGAAAATTGATCCGTGGCCCCCTCCCCACGCTTAATCTGTGCGGGCCAGGGCCGCAACACATGGCAGGTACCTGATCGCAAGAGTCACAAGGCTGCGACCCCTGCGACCGCGGTATGTACACCAGTGCATGCAGATACACTTAAAGGACCACTATAGGCACTCAGATCACTTCAGCTCAATGAAGTGGTCTGGGTGCCAAGTGCCTAGTTTTAACCCTGCAGCTGAAAACATAGCAGTTTTAGAGAAACTGCTATGTTTCACTGAGTGTTAATCCAGCCTCTAGTAGCTGTCTCACTGACAATTTCCACCAGCACATCCACTCCTGAGTTGATACTACCAGCATCTTCACTCAAGTGGGCAAATCTTCTAGGGTGTACAAAATCAGGACTGGCAACCTAACTCTTTTCCCTCCTTCTGCTTCCTCACCCAGCTGTCACCCATCTACTTACCTGGTCCCCAGCTGGCATTAGGCTCAAGGTTGAGTCTGCAGTTGCATTATGGCAGGGGTTTCAAACTTGCACCTCTGGGGGTGCTCGTACCATGGGTGGGAAACCCCTGCCATAATGCAACTGCAGACTCAATCTGCAGCGGGTCCATCGGGTAGCCAAGGCACTCTGTGCCACCTGATGGAAAAATGTCTTCAGGGTCTACTACAGCGCTGCAGCACACGACCCTAAAGACTTGCGGTGCCCATGAGTGCCCTGGGTCACTTGATGGACCTACTCACCCTGCAGTCCCAGCCTGGACTGCCATTACTTACATTTTTTCATATACTCTCATGGGAATCCGCAGGGTGAGCTGAGAGCTCTTCCCCCCAACTCACTCACACTCAGACACAGTGCAAAGGAGGGGAAAGCCACAAGCTGTATGGGGGACCAGACTAGGACAGAAGAAAGCCCCCACCTCCCACCATTCACAGCCAGCAGAAGCCACCCTCCCGCACCTAAAATGTAGGTTACTGACAGATGGCTAAATTGTGATCTGTATGCATGTGTATGAAGTATTTGTGTCAGTGTTCGTATCTGTGTATTTGCATGTGTATAATTGTGTCTGTGCAACTGTATGTGTGGCAGTGTTTGTTTCTGTGTCAGTGTTTGTATCTGTATGTGTGTAGTGTTTGTATTTGTGTTTTTGTATCAGTATGTGTTTCATTGTATCTATGTGTCTATATCTGCATGTGTTAGTGATGTGTATCTGTATGCATTTATATGTCTGTATGTCTGTGTGACTGGGTATCTGCATGTACGGCAGTTTGTGTATGTGTCCATCTGTATGTGTGTCAGTGTGTGTATCTGCATGTGTGTGAGTTTGTGTATCAATTTGTCTGTGCAACTGCATGTATGGCAGTGTTTGTATCTACATGTTAGTATTTGTTTCTGTGTCTGTATCTGGATATATATCAGTGTTTGTGTGTGTGCATCCACATGCGTGTCAGTGTTTATATCTGTGTCTGTATTTGTATGTGTGCTAGTGTCTGAATTTGTGTTTCTGTATCTGCATGTGTAACAGTGTTTGTATCTGTGTGTGGCAGTGTTTGTATCTGTGTATCTGCATGTGTGTCAGTGTGTGTATCTGCATGTGTGTAGGTTTGTGTACTAGTTTGCATGTGTTACTGCATGTGTGGCAGTGTTTGTATCGGTATGTCTGTGAATCTGTATGTGTGTCCGTTTATTTTATCTGCACATGTGTCAGCTTGTGTATTAGTGTGTCTGTGCAACTTTGTGGCAGTGTTTGTATCTGTGCATTTGTGTGTGTCAGTGTGTGCCCCAGTGTTTGTATCTGTGTACCTGAATGTTTGTCCTTATTTGCATTTGTGTCAGTTTGTATCTGTATGTGTGTCTGTGTTTGTATCTGTGTATCTGTATGTATGTGTATCTGTATCAGTGTGTCCGTGAAACTGTATGTGTGTCACTGTTTGCAACTTTGTGTCTGTATATTTGCATGTGTGGCAGTGTTTCTATTTGCGTATTTGTAAACCAGTATGTGTGTCAGTGTGTGAATCTGTATATGTCAGTGTGTGCATCTGTGTGTCTGTGCAACTATGTGTGTCAGTGTTTGTATCTGTTTGTGTTTTTACTTTTTTTATATTTAGTTTTTATTGAAAGTTTTCATAGTAAAATTACCAACAGTTAGGGATGAAAAAAGGGAAAGGGAAAATGAATGAAATTTACACAGCTTTGCAGGTTACATACTTAACAATATAATATTACCACCAATATATCCGATACATTAGATTCACATATTTGCATGTGATTAACATTAACAGTGTACCTTCCTTTTATTCCATAAAGCAAAAAAAAAAAAAAAGGACACAAAAGGGAACAACAGCAGAATATTAAAGTGTTACAACCACCTTCTGATCTCGTATTATAAATCTAATTATTAATTATTATTTGTTGTCTATTGTTTAAACCTAACCTAAGGTTTTTTGTTTTTCTATGTTGCTACATGTGTGTCAGTGTGTGTAACTCTATGTGTGTATCTATTTGTATCTGTGTATCTTCATTTGTTGTATATGTGTGTCTGTACGTGCATCTGTGTCAGTGTTTGTATCCTTGTGTTTGTTTCTGTACAAGAAGTGGTTTATTCAGCAAAATGTACATACATTTATAACCAGACTGGGGACTCTATTCAGAACTTCTTAAGTCTGCCCAGGGGTCTTTGTGTCTGGGAGATTATTGAGTTGATTACTGGAAACTAATTATCTCCTACATACAGAGAGTGAAACTTAGAAATATTCCCAAAACCTCCATCAAACAGTAAGGTACCCCCACATGTACTACATCAGATCCAGGCAGATCTGAGCGCCCATTCTGGGAAAATAGCTCTCGGATTCCATGTAGAATTGTCCAAACCCAGCCTCGGGTCAAGCCTCTGTGATTTACCAGGCACAATTTATCCATGGTGGAAGGTAGCACCGTGGTGGTTTCAGGGAGCAATTATTCAGTTCTGGGGATAGAAGCTTCCCTCCGAAAACCCTTTTCTGGGTCTCTGGGAAATTGGTGAAATGTAGGGTGCAAGTTTTAGGTTTGACCTGCTAATAGCGCATGGACAAATTGTACCCACACTATTATCACTTAGAAATTATTGGCGGCTGGTATTTGTCTCCTTTCTTACCTAAACCCTGTAACGTGAAACTTCTCTGCACTAGGAATAGATCCTGCCATTGCCAGGACACTTACTATTCAGCTTTTACAATTATTTCCATTCGCTTGATCTCAAGTTGGGGGTTCAATACCAAATCCAGCATCTCCAGCAAAATACAGATGTCCGCCTACTTTTCGTTTTTAAATAAAAAAAATTTTAAAAACAATATCATGTACTTTGGAGAAATTAATATTTTGTACTAAATTAGGTGGCTCAGCCATGTTTGTAAATAATTTTAATAAAAAATACTCACATACATAAATAGCCAATAATAGGGAGTTTTGTTTTTATGGATTATCTGTGTATTAATTTAAATAGAAGATAATTTTTTATTTGAATCAACAAGAAAGGTCTGGGACGGTAACCTAGAACGTGCTCTAATGGAAGTCCCACTTGGAACCAGCATCGCCCGATGTGTATGTAATAAACCTGTGTGTATGTACAGGGCACTATTAGAGCAATAAATCTCTTTCTGTGCAATATACACAGTCCTAGCAGACAGCATATAACACAAGGGATCTGAAGGTTCCATGGTCTACCTAGCTCTTAGATGTCAGCACTTCAAAAGCTTTTCATCAGCAGGACCTGTCGAGAGATGGGTAGAGTCTTGTCTCCCATCTGGAGCAGGAATGCTTAAAAGAGACCATCTCTTATCTCCTTACAACAAAGTGGACGCATCCAGGTGTGGTCTCTGCAATGTCTGTTCTTTTCTCATGGGGAGGTCTGTGTACAGAGAAACTTCGAATTTCAGGAGTCCTCAGCGCATGAACTGCATAGGTAAAGATTGTAATTAAGTGCTTTTGTTGTGTTTTGTTTGTTATTTTTACCTTCTCTCTTTCATTCTTTGTTACTTTTCTCATTTGTTAAATCAATGACAGTAAAGGTTATCATTATTATTTATAAAGCACCAAGACATTTTACAACGCTATTAATATCATATGAAAGCAGATACTATTGCTCTATAAAATATCTTTCATATCTCATAATACTAACACATATAACCTCTCATTATACCTCCACTTACTACTCCGTATAACCTCTCTCTATAACTCCTCCTATTACTCCATATAATCTCTCTCTATAACTCCTCCCATTACTCCATATAACCTCTCCCTATAACTCCTCCTATTACTCCATATAACCTCTCTCTATAACTCCTCCTATTACTCCATATAACCTCTCTCTATAGCTCCTCCTATTACTCCATATAACCCTCCCTATAACTCCTATGTGTTGGAGCTCCTGTAGGGGGACTGAGGATGGCCTCAGACCCAGGGGGGAGTGTTGGTGTTCTGGATACTAGTCCAGCTCTAGTCCCAGGCCTGGAGGTGTTGGAAGGCCAAGAAGCCCAAACAAACGAAAGGAGACCTGTTAAGGAAAGTTTAATTAGTAAAGCTTTGACGGTTTTGGACAAAAAACTGGGAGATGCTTCTGCTAATTATCAGACTTTATGTGCAATGTATGATGATTTGTACAAGCAGAAGCAAGATTTGGTAAAGAAAGTGGATGAAGTAACCCAGGAATCTGAGAGAACAGGTTTTCTGCAGCAGATTGATCAGATCCAGGTGGAGATCGACTCCCTACAAACGGCAATGGATGTAAAAGAGCAAAGCATTGAAAAACTGAAAAGTGCAATAAAAGGTGAGGAAAGAAAATGTTATAAAATGCAAAAGTTAAACCCATTAAAGATTAAGAAGGTACCCACACAACCGCTAAAAGACAAGCAAGTAGGGGTAATGATAAAGAAATTAAGTGATAAAATGTGCCCAGTGACTTTACCTGCTCAAACAGGAGAGGCTGCTGCTGAATGTAAACCTGAGAGTTCACCTGGGTGCAATAAACCAGCAGCCCTCAGCATTGCCATACCTGAATGCTTAAATGAAATAACTGTCCATAAACTGAGATCTAGGAGCATAAAGCGTGTTGTGGAAACACTTATTGAGAAAGAAAGTGATTTGCAAAAACCTCTTGGTGTAAGCATTGCAAGAGATGCAACACAATGCAGGGATTCCACAGCAGAGCAGAATCTGGAGGAATCACCGGATAGACATCTGCAATCTGGAACTGGCTCTAGCAATCCAGAAGGACAAAAACATGGACCGGATACAGGTACTAAAATGGGAACAGGAACCAGCAAACAGAGCAGCACACAGGTAAATGAACAACAACCTGCAACAAGCGGGAATTTGTTTTCAAATGTAGCAAGATCAAGGGGAGATGTATCTAAGCGGAAGAATGCAGTGCGCCTGTTGTTCACAGGACCAGAACCTGATATTCCAGACAGAATATTCATTGGTCGCAAACTCTTAATGGAATTCATGGGTTTTTCTGCAAGTGAAATATTTGCATTTATTCACTTTCCTGGATCAAGACAATTTGACATTAGTTTTAAACTAATGCAGAACCTGGATATGTTTTGGGTGATTTTCCATAGGACAAAATCAGATGGTATCTGGAAAAATATAAAAGCTATCCCACTCACAAAACAGGCCACAGTGTCTATCAATCTCCAGTTCCAGACAGAAGTAGTGGCTTTAAATGACATAATGTATTGGATAAAGAGACACTGTACAGTTGTGAGTGACCCACAAAAGATTTATGATGAGATTGGGTTATGGAATGGTGGATGGAAACTGCAAGTTAAACTGTGGCAGACAGGGGGCGTTACTCATCATTTACCACACAGTTTTTTTATTGGTACGGACAGAGGCATTTGCTATTATCCAGGACAGCCTAGAAGCTGTTATAAATGTGGGTCAACAAGGCATTTGGCCTATTGCTGTGATAAAATAAAGTGCTCTCAATGTAACTGTCTGGGCCATATGAGATCAGAATGCAAGCAGGACGTAATATGCAACTTATGTTCTGTACAAGGTCATACCTTTAGAGAGTGCCCAGAAGCACACCATAATAAGATAAACGACTGTGTGCTAGATTTGGAAAGCATACTTACTGAAGCAATGGAAGAGCCCAATACAACTGAGAAACAAGATACAAATGAGCCACAGAAAGATGACATTACTGAGCCAGAAAACATCTTAAGGAAAGACGCCAAGGAAATACAATCTCCATTAAATGTTGAAAAGGGTCCAATATTAGAAAAAAACAGTGAGGAATTTCAGTTGGTGCAAGGAAAACACAAGAAGAAATTAAAATATTCAGGTACTCGTGAGTCACAAAAACCTCCTCAGATGCTTTCGTCATTTGAGATAACTGCTGGTCGCTATGCTATCCTGGATGAACCTAGTGAAGATGCCATGGAATTTAAACAGAGTGAAGGATCTCTCTGGAAAAGGCGATCCACAGAGGAATTGCAGTTGTTCTGTGAAGAAGAAGCAACTGCCTCTGTTTCAATAAAACGATGGGGATCTCAAGGTGACAATATAGGAGCAGTAAAGAAGAAGCGCTGAGTCTCCTTGGTTTCCATGACTTTACATATATGCTCGCTTAATGTCAACAGTTTGAGATCAAAAGAGAGAAGAGACTTACTCTATACTGTTCTGAAAGAACAATCATTTGATGTGTGTTTATTACAGGAGACAAGATTAAGAAATAATAGCCAGGTTTTTTGTGCTAAAAGAGAGTGGACAATGGGCCCATCTTATTGGTCATTTGGACTGGAAAGTTATGATGGTGTGGGTATTTTGTTTAAGAACTGTGATTTTCAAATTGATCGGATTGTGGAAATTGTTGCAGGTAGATGCCTTTTGTTAGATTTTACGCTTAATGATGTGAGATATCGAATAATTAATATATATGCTCCTCAGATAATAGCAGGTAGGAAAAAAGTGTTTTTAAGTGTAAAACCATATTGTTTCACATCCAAAGTGTTAATTATGGGAGGTGATTTTAACGGTGTGGTAAATAATGAAGATCGAAATAGTAATTATAAAAATTTAAAATATGATGAAAACTTTCTAAAAACTCTGATCAGTCAAGCTGGTCTGATTGATACTTTTAAATATAATTATCCTACACAGCGAGGGTTTACATATCATAAAGGGAGGTGGGCAAGTCGTATAGATAGACTCTATGTAAAAAATCAAACTTCATCTTTTAGATATAATTTAGTCTTGGTAGAGTTTTCAGATCATGATATGATTAGTCTGTCCTTAAAGGTAAAGGAAGGAATAATATATGGGAAAGGTATCTGGAAACTAAACTCAAGAATACTTGATAATGATAAAGTTAAGCAAGAATTCATTACTTTTTATGAAGATCGAAAAACCACGCAGTGCTTATACGACACGATGTCGAGTTGGTGGGAACAAACAAAAAAAGATATTAAAAGTTTTTTTAAATCAAAAGCTAGAAAAGAAGGAAATCGTCAATATATGCAATATCTTGCTCTAAGACTTAGACTTAGTAGATTATATTCCTTGGTCAATAATGGTGAGACAGTGAATTCAAATAGCATTAATCAAGTTAAGGATAAAATGAAAAAACTTCAATATGACCGTATGATCTCTCTAAAAGCTGAAAATGAATTCGATAGTTGGGGTTTCACAGCCCCAGATCCTTTTCAAGCGTGTAAGGAAAGAGTATGTAAGAAAGCCATAGCAGGACTGGTAGATCAAGATGGTGAAACACAAACAGAAAGTAAGGACATTATAAATATTGTCACAAAATATTTTAAACAATTGTTTGCAAGACAGCCTATTGCAAATGAAAATATTGTAAAATATTTGCAAGATGTTGATAATCCGGTATTAAATGCAGTGGATGCTGAGACCATGGTTAAGCCTATAACAGAGGAAGAAGTTAGAAATAGCATTCAATCATTAGTTGGGAAGAAAAGTCCAGGATTGGATGGGATAACTGCAGAGTTTTATAAAGTGTTTTTAGATCTTTTGGTAACGGATCTTGTAATGCTATATAATGAAGTGCTAACTCTGGGACAGTTGCCGCCCTCACAGTATGCCTCAGTCTTGGTACTTTTAGCTAAAAGTGGTAATTTGAATGAACTAAGGAACTGGCGTCCGTTATCATTATTGAATACTGATTACAAAATTCTTGCAAAAGTCATGTTTATGAGGCTTAGTGCAGTGGCTGAAATTTTGGTAAGTCCGTGTCAGTCGTGTGCAGTTAAGAATCGTAGCATACAGGATACACTGTTGCTAGTAAGAGAGGTGGTGGAATACGCTAAGCAGCAGAGAGAAGGTATTTATTTGGTAGGACTAGACCAGTCCAAAGCATTTGACCGAGTACATCATGAATTTTTATTTGAGACTTTACGGAGATATGGCATTCCTAATACTTTTATTAAATGGTTGAAGATATTATATAAAGAAGCAATATGTTTCCCTTTAATTAATGGTAGTTTGGGAGACCCTTTTCAGGTTGAATCTGGAGTTCGTCAGGGTTGTCCTATAAGTCCTTTGCTTTATGTTTTTAGCATTGACCCTCTATTAAGGAAAATAAAAGGAAACCATAATTTTCAAGGCCTAGAAGTGAAAGTAGAAGGTGTTTCCGAGAGAGTCAAAGTTTGTGCTTATGCAGATGATATTTCTGTTTTTTTGAAATCAGAAGCAGATAACCAATTGTTACAAAGGGAACTTAAAAGTTATTCTCAAATTTCCAACTCTATGGTTAATATGGAGAAGAGTGAAGCATTGTGGCTGGGGGATAATGCAGAAGCTTTTCAAATCCCTTTTAAAAGAAAGGATAAAACAATCAAAGTGTTGGGTATTACATATGGATGTGTTGAAGACATTGCCCAGAGAAATTGGGATGATAAATTTAAAATATTCTCAGATAAAATACACAAATGGAAAAATTGGAAATGGTCTTACCAAAAGAAAATTCAAGCTATCAAACGATTTTTATTCCCCATTTTTATTTATACAAGTTTTGTCTTTCCATTACCTGATCAATTAGTGGTTAAGATAACCGGTTTGTTGTTCCAGCTAATATGGGGTAATCGTTTAAATATTGTTAAACGTAACATTTCCTATCTCCATAGGAAAGATGGAGGATTAGGCATGTTGTGTCCAGAACTTTTTTACAATCTCTTGTTTATAACCAAGAATTTAAGTTTTTTTAAATCTGGTAGAACAGATTTATGGGGAATCTTATATAAAAACCAAATTAATCACTTTGTTGGAGTTTGGACAAGAGGTGTAAAGATCAAAAGATTGTCTGGCAAGGTTAAACATTGCTCTCTATATGCTCAGCAATGTATAAAGTTGTTGCTGAGATGGCAAATTTCATATGAAGATATCACTGGGCTAGATAGAAAACAATTATATCATGTTCTGTTAAATAAGTACTATAGTGCCCAGTTGGTTTTAAAAGACTGCCCTAATACCTTAATGAAAAAAGCCATTCAGAATGTTACTAGCACGAGAATACCAATTAAATTGAGAGATGTTATTTGGCTTAGTTTTCAAGGAAAATTATACGTTCGCTCTAATTTGAAATTTAAAAAACTTGAGGAACGAAATTGTCCGAGGGAAGAATGTTCAGGGATATTAGAAACAATGTCTCATTTTTAGTGTGACTGTCCCTTTAGTTTAGCAATATGGTCAGAAATGTCCACACTTCTTAAAATACCAAATTTTAAAGGACAGTCCTATGCTGAATTAGTATATGGAAATTTCAATTGGGCAGATAAGATTAACAAATGCACTTTATATGTAATTAATTGTATTGTTATATATCATTTATGGCAAGCGAGGTGTTTAAAATCATCAAAACAAATTATTTTAACTACGGACTCTGTGATTAATCGGATAATTAAAGACATAAAAGATGTATATGGAAAAGAACAAAATACAGATTGTTGGGAAAATATAGACATGACATTTTGTTTTTAATTGTATTTTTGTATATGTTTTTGATACATTGAACACTGTTTTGTAATTTGTTGTAAGAAAATTTAATAAAAAAAATTTCCTCCTATTACTCCATATAACCTCTCCCTATAACTCCCCTTATTACTCCATATAACCTCTCTATAACTCCTCCTATTACTCCATATAACCTCTTCCTATAACTCCTCCTATTACTCCATATAACCTCTCTTTATAACTCCTCCTATTACTCCATATAACCTCTCTCTATAACTCTCCTATTACTCCATATAACCTCTCCCTATAACTCCTCCTATTACTCTGTATAACTTCTCTCTATAACTCCTCCTATTACTCCATATAACTTCTCTATAACTCCTCCTATTACTCCATATAACCTCTCCCTATAACTCCTCCTATTACTCCATATAACCTCTACCTATAACTCCTTCTATTACTCCATATAAACTCTCCCTATAACTCCTCCTATTACTCCATATAACCTCTTATAACTCCTCC